AGAGGTGATGTTGTCCTTGACAACGAGACGGGCCATTGAGCCTTGAAGCAACGACATAGAGGAACTCTCAATGAAAGCACCAATGTCGGTGTCAAAACCGGCGGATCTCGGGTAGGGGCTCCCGATCTATGCGTCTAAGGTTAATGGTAACAGGAGGCAAGGGACACAATGTTTACCCAGGTTCGGGCCCTCTTGATGGAGGTAAAACCCTACTTCCTGCTTGATTGATATTGATGATATGAGTGTTACAAGAGTTGATCTACCACGAGATCGTAGAGGCTAAACCCTAGAAGCTAGCCTATGATGATTATGATTCTGTCTCTAAGGACTAAACTCTCCGGTTTATATAGACATCGGAGAGGGCTAGAGTTTACATGGAGTCGGTTACAGAGAAGGAAATATAATATCCGGATCGCCAAGCTTGTCTTCCACGCAAAGGAGAGTCCCATCCGGACACGGGACGAAGTCTTGAGTCTTGTATCTTTACGGCCCAACAGTCCGGCCAAAGTATATAGTTCGGCTGTCCGGATACCCCCTAATCCAGGACTCCCTCAGCCGCGCCGGCCAGGGGTTTCCCCCAGATCCTCGCCCAAACGTCAGATCCAGCCAGCAATCACCAAGAAACACCGACCGCAACCACTGGGGACCGGCGCTGGCACGAAACAGAGCAGATCGAGTGGCACCGAAGCTTCTTCAAGGTGGCCCGGTGGCCAGCGAGGCGCCACCGCAGCACCGACGTCCGCGACCACCACCTTCCCGCGCAGCCATGGAGGCCGCCCACCAGCACCCGCCGGCGCCGGCCGCCACCCAGGCCACGCCGCACGCCACAGGCCGAGGCCGCCGCCCCGGGAGCCGCAGCCCTCCATCCAGGGAGGAGGCGCCAGATCCCCCGCCGCCACCTTCATCGGGGCCGCGCGCGAGCGCCGCGAGGGGGGGGGGCGTGTATGGGATTTTCCCAGAAGGTCACTTCGCCTTGGCCTTGGGCCTTTCATTGGATGTTTAAGCGGTAGTGAGCCAGATTAGTCAGGCTTCGCAGGAGGCAGGAGGCGCACTCAATTTGTTCTTTGCGTGCTTGTCGTTTGCAAACGAGAAGGTAGTTGGTGCCTGTTGCTAAAAAAAAAGGGTTGTTGGCGCCCCAGCGATGACGATCCAGCTCTTGCATTCACCGCTTTGTAGGAGTACTTTGTATTAATACAAATTCATATGTCTTTAATGTTTGGTTACATGTTAATTTCAAAACATAATGTTTACGTGTTCTAAATTGAGGGCCAATGTTTTTATATAATAAACTTTGGTTTAAAAATGTAGATACTTTACGCTGATTGTAGTTGTCATCTGGCTAATTAGATATTTTACGTCACAATTTTTTTCTTCATGCTATCAGTTTTGTCACACTAAAACTTCAATTCGTTCTCCAGCACCTCACGAGCACAAATTAGCTGGATGATAAAGATAATTTGGCTAGATATCCTATGTGGTCGTCCTTGTATGATTGTGTGCGACCAATGCTTGATCTCCTGTGCACCATGGACAGATATACCTCATCATCGTCCCTCACACAATCACTCTGATAAGCGAGTTACTGAGAGGAGACCTTACTGCACCCACAAGAACGCTATTATAGAGAAGTTATGTACCATTATCATTATCTTTGTATATACAACTATTTCAAAAACTAAGGGGCCCATATTCAAATTTTGCCCCGGGCCCCCAAAATGTCAGGACCGGCCCTAACTATCATGGACGACTTTTTGAAGAAAAACAAATATTTGTGTAATCATAGCTAGATCATCAAGGAGTCCGAAGAGATAGAAAGGGACATGGACATAGGGGAACTATTAGTAGAGGACGGCCGCCTCCAAAAGGTGTTGGCCAGAATCATCAACAAAGAGTTTGTAAATGAGGATGGGGAGTTTCATTACCAGCTAGCTAGAGTGAGATGAAGAACGAATTCACCGAGTCGAAGACATATTGCGGTAATCGATTGCGAGCGATACACTGCTTCAAAACATCTTGATTTGTTGTTCATTATATGAGTTGAGACACACACATGTTTATTTGTTGCCTTACACTTCTTATACTGCATGGTTGCTTAATTAATACTATTAACTTTTGTATCACCATTGTAATATGATTGTTTGAGTGCAAAATACTGCTTCAGTGCCATTAAAATGCTGCCACGACAGGAAAATAACGTTGTCGCGGCAGAATTTCTCTATATGCCGACATCACTACCAGTGGCAAGCAGCAAAGGTGTCTGTCACTGCTAACACACACAACAATGGCGGGCAGAGACAAAGCAGTGGCGGGCAGAGACAAATAGACCGCTCGATAGCTATTATAGTTGTGGCGAGCGATAAATCTGGCCCGCCACAAAAGCACTGCCATCAGTGACGGGCGACCGCCCACCACTGATGTCATAATAGCAGTGGCAGGAGGTTAGTGACGGGCGGCCCTGAGAGCCTGGTCCGCCACTACTAGGCTTTTTGCACCCGCCACTGCTAGGCATTCCTGCAGTAGCGTGAGTTCCCATAGCTCAGTGTCATAGGAGCACTAATGTACCTTGCAAATTATACTAGCCAAGACATTGCCTTTGTAGTAAATTTACTGGCCCAACATAGTGCAGCTCCAACAAAACGCCATTGGGTGAGAGTAAACAATATATTCAGATATGTACAAGGTACTAAAGATCTTGGTTTATTCTATCAGAAAAATGAAGAGATGACCCTGAATGGTTATAGTGATGTTGGATATCTTTCTGATCCCCATAATGCGAGGTCACAAACAAGGTTTGTATTTTTACATGGTGGAACTGCTATTTCATGGACGTCAACACAACAGACTTTAGTACCAACCTCCACTACCACTCTGAAATAATTACATTATTTGAAGCCTCACGAGAATGTGTATGGCTCCACAGAGTGATAAATCATATTCGGACATTATACGGTATCGGTTCATTAGAATCACCAACCATTATCTATGAACATAGTGTTGCATGTGTTGCTCAACTGCATATGGGATATATTAAAATAATATACAATACATTTCCAGCACTCGAGGATATGTGAAGAATTTCAAGATGATGAAATATCAAAATGATTGTGTTTGTCTAAGGGTGAGTGTTAGGAAACAATTAGCGTTGTATTTAGGCTAAGTAGGTAGTTAGAATTGTGTTAGTACCAACTGCTAGCACTTGCCTTATGTTAGCGTTGTCCAAACGCCAAACACCCCGAACAGGCGTTTGTGCCTCTTCGGAGGGATGTGAACCCTGTAACTGACATTGTAAACACATCTATTCAGATACTACATAAGGCATGAATAGTACATCAATGAAACTACTCATTCACTTCAATCTTTCTTTTCTTCTTAGTTGCAATGTCGAATGCAATGAGTTCCTTGGTCAGCGCGTGCACCTTGGAGAGCCGTGACAGTGCCAGCAGAGTTGATGTGATGGAGACATCTTTTAGGGCAGCAACCGATGCACGCCCACGCAAATTGATTTAGAGCACTTTAGCGACGAAGTTTCACCTTGATGGATCCAGCCAGGTAAACCATCCATGCCTTGTCGGTGTAAGACATAAAAGACATTTTCACGATGCCACTCATTTCAAAGTAGTGCTTGCATGCACCACATTCGCATCAACAAAATAACTTTTCTTTAGGTGCTCAGCAAACAAAGAACCTACTAGGAGGTATGGGGCTAATTAGACTCGCAACGTGGTGTGCATGCGTGTGGCTGTATGTGTGATTATATGAACCGACCTTTTAGGCAGGGAAATGCAAAGATCATACTAGTTTATACTACTTGGTCAGGACCCGAGGTAATAAGCTTTGCACATGGCAAAGTTACTTTCAAGTCTCTCCCTGCCATGTTGAATGATCTAAGTACAGTGCAATTATGAACCATGATAGGTGACAAGTAGAAGAACTCAGCCTCTTATTTTACTAGTATAGTGTCAAAAATGTCTTACATTATGGGACACAGGTAGTTTTTTTAGTGGAACCTACCATCATGGTGTTCAAGGTCGGGGCCAAGCTATGCCTATCTTGAGCAAAATATGCTTCTACATCACTCACTAGATACAAACAGCAACACATATGGACCGGTGTACGAAGACAACACATTCAACAAGGTATCAACACCAGCACACCGGCATCTCTTGAACCAGTCAGTGAAGGCGGAACACATGATTTTACTGTCGAGTTCACCTCACTATCGTCTTCCTAATCCAACAACTAAAGGCTAGATTTCACCAGAGGCATACTAATATCCAAGACAACCTTCACATAGTCGATGAAACACGACTTGTAGTTGATAGATCCAACCAATGAAAGCCAGAACAAGGCTTTTGCCTAGGATCTAAAATGTCAACAACCGCTCGGCTCAACCAATGTAGGAAAACTGATGTGTGGTTGTATGGCGAAGCCACGGTGATCGAAGAAGCTCTTTACCGCTTGTACCGGATTCGAAAAGATCAGTCATGCGGTGCACGCTAGCATTACACCGCTGCAGAGTGTCAAAACTCCTATGGGGCCGCCCCGCCACCTGCATCTATGAACTAATCCTAAAAAGGACCCTCCAAAATCACTTGATGGATCCATAGACTGTGGATGGATGAAGACAACATGAAGTTACACCGTGAAAGGACACCTTCACAACCACCATGTATGGCGAACGACACAATGTCTAGATTTCTCTTGACTAGTGTACAAGTACTTCCATGGCCTTCAAGCCGACAAATCCAACGCAACAAAAAACGATATCTGTATGAAAAAATCATCAATAGAAATGGTTTAAAAGAAATGTTTAGACATAGTGGACGTTCACGAATTTGTTTTCTTAGATGGAACTCTTGATTACATTAGCACTCAGCCTGAACAGAATAGTTGGCCAGCAAGACTATAAAATCACCGGGCACACCTTCTGGTCATAGCAGCCTAGGTACATGCCTCCTCACTCCGTTGCCTTCAAGGAATGAGCAATTTTATTACAAGCCATGTGGTTCAAAGAAACAACGACTGAACCAAAGTTTACGGCCACCTGTAGTGTCATGATACACAGGGACACAGGGTCAAAGTCTGTAATCTGCAGTGCACTAGTCGATGAGAAGTCAAGAATTGGAAGAAAGAAAATAGATCCGAAGTCACGTACGGGAGAAGATGTAAGAAAAATGATAACCAAAACTAGCAGCAATACCTATAATGCTTGCCAAGGGATGGGGGGAGAGGGTAAACCAGAGGTCAAAATGTCTGCCGCAGAGAAACAAAAAGGAGTGAAGCACGACAAACTTGATATCTCCAATGATCAAACTGTCATAGATATTTTCCTGAGGCCACTCATTCCGCGTAACTTATAGGCCGGTTAAGTTGTTCGTATGTTACAACGCGCACCTTACGCATCATGCCAATATAGGGTGATTCACTTTATTTTGCCCAACTAAGTCCACTGCCAACGTCAAGTGATGTGAATTCCATGATCGAGCATGGTTTTGTTTTGGTGGTTTATTCAAACAAACTAACATGTACTAGAATCATAGAGCTTAAATGATCACATAGTTTGAACCATTCACAAGGGTATGTTTTGTTTTGTTCTGATGTGTGAAATGAGTAGTAGTTTCATTGTTATATATAGAAGCATATGTAGAGCAAGATGCAGCTGGTAGATGGCATATATTAGACCTATTAAAAGCACTTTCACATATAAACCGAACATGTAAAAGTTGTACATATAGGCTACTGCATGAGGTAGATGACATAGTAGGTCTATCTCATCTCTCACCTCTCATGACAGCGGTTTCTACGGTTCCATGATGTTGTCGACCATATGGCAGGGACAGTAATGCTAAGA